CGGGGAGCTATGCAAAAAACGCATCTTCGCACGGGCAGCCCGTGCGTTGGCCAATTATTTTATTTTGTCTTCTGTTTGCGATTCTGCCGGGCGTGGTGTAGCGGCAGATAGAACAAGTTCTGTTGCTGCGCTGTTCGGTAAATTGATACTGGCATTACGGAGTTAAGCCTGCTATTTGCTTACTTTTAAGCACTTGCGGAAAAAGTGGCCAAAGGCAGCCTTGCCAGAAAGTGATTGCTGTTGCATTTCCTACCGCTCGGGTTGCTTCCCGAGTGCCTCTCCCTCTCGTGCAGAACGAAATGCAGAAAAGTCTTGACCTCCTTATGATATTTTTGAAATAATTAGAACTACTCCAGTATATTTCTGAAAACATTTCTCGGGAAGCTGACCACTACTAGCCTTGCCAGCAAATAACTGTTGCTTTCGGCGAAATGCTCCCATGAACTGCATCTAGGCCCTTTCGTTTCAGTGGATAGTGAAATATGAGAGGGGGATTGGAGACGGGATCGAGGGGGAAGCTTGGGCAGTTGTCGTTATTTACCAGTCTTTTTGTGTGTTTTTGTACCTTATGCAAATACAAATATTATCGAGAGGTTGTTCGTGTGTCTTTGTGTGTGTGCGTTTGTGTACATGTGCGTGCATGCATATGTATGTGTGTATGCGTGTGTGTTCAAGTCAAGTGAACTTTATCATACACTTTCAACTCAATTTAGAAAGTTGTGAGACAGAAAATTCAGCATATTTCTACCTCAAATGCTATCCTCTCTTTTTAAAATCAACGATGGTTTTCACGTTTGTTGAAAAAAATAATTGGCCAACGCACGGGCTGCCGTGCGAAGACGCGTTTTTTGCATAGTGCTCCGCAGTTTTTGTCGCTACCGGCACCAGTTTTCCGGTAAATGCTTCTAGCTAAACAAATTAAAACTGGCCGCCAGAATTGTGAGGAAACACCCCTTAAAATTCCAGTCTTCTAGCTTCTCAAGTCCCCGAGTTAACAGCTCACCCGAAAAAAGCTTTCACGGGCCCGTAAAGTGGGTACCACGCATACCTGTGTCTGGGTTTGGACTCATTAAGACCTACTTGGATGGGAAATATCCCCTTAAAATCCCAATCTTCTTGCTTTTCAGGTCCCCGAGTCAGCAACTTACCCGAAAAAAATTTCACGGGCACATACGTGAGTAAATCACGCACACTCAGGAGGCTAGGTTTGAGCTCTTTAACACCTATTTGGACGGAGAGCATCCTCTTAGGTTCACAGGCTCCGGAGTTAGCAACTTACCCATAAAAAACTTTTGCAGGCTCGTATGTGGGTAACCGCGGGCAAGAGCGCCCATTTTGGGGATGGGGCCTGCACATGCACATAGATCAAGTTCGCAAAGTTTCAGCCCTGTAGCTTTCGTAGGTCTCGAGATGAAAAATCGGTACAGACGAACATACAGAGAAACACGCAGATACACACACAGACAATTCCTTGTCAATATGCGTTTTCTGCATTGCGTAGCCGCAAACAACGCCAAAAACCGTAAATTTTTGGGCAAAAAACGATCTCCGAATCATTAAAAGTAGGAAGCTGCAACATCGCAGAGGTATTCTCTGTCTGTTGTGAGCTGAAGATTTCAAATTCGCTTATCGCGCACGCTTACGTCACGTGTACGCTCACATCAAAGTTTACAGTTAGAGCCGTGCCTGCTCGAAAGCTAGCCGGAAAATAATAGTTTTAGTTTTTCCAAAGTATTTATCGTCCATCTGAGAAATTGTATAGCTAAATGGAGTTTCGAATTGCATCTACGCCAAACGTTTGGGCACGTCAAACATATTCGTAGAGAAGTGGCAATTTCGGATACAGGACAAGCTACAAAGCTGAAATTTTACAAGAATATTCTACACCAGTCTATGGTCTAAACTTATCCTGGCGGTGAATTGTCTTGCACACAAACATAACAAACAATCATTTTTATCGCAACCTCAAAAAGAGTACATTTTGCGAATTTCGTTATTCTCCTCTGTCTCGACATGCTGCCCATTTGTTCAGTTTGCATTCTTAGTTTGTGACCGGACACCGAAAATTATTCATTGCTTTCATCCTAAATTTACGGCAGTTATGCGTCGCGGATAAGCTGCTATGTAACTCTTCCAGATGATGCCCTTTCCCCTGCATGCAAAAAAATCCAAAGCATGCCAACATGAGTTCACTTGTTGAACTTTAGAGCATCAGCCATCCGGACTGCTAGCGTTTTGGCTGCTTCGAATTTAGCACAAAAGCGTATGATCGCTTAGCAAGCCTGGTCCGTTAGAATTGCATCAGTATAATTTTCCGCATCACTTTTCAGGCCGTACGAAATTTGGAACCGTACGTTGAATTGCATGAACGAGAATTAAATTTTTACAGATACATTGCACACAGGACAAGCGGCTTAGTTCCAAAAGTAAACATTTTTGAATTTGCTTGTTGGTACTGAAAATCAGTCCCATTGTCAGCTTACTTCTAGCTAACTTGATGAAGATGAAATCATCGAAATTTTTAACAGCAGGTGGTCACTATTGGCACCTGCTATCACTCGAACTGCCTTTGAGTGCCTCCATTTCCCACTGACAGTGAACACTTTGACTTACTGAAAAAAATTTCGAATCGACATTGTGGTGCATATACTTATAATAATTTTGTATTCTGAACAGACTAGAGTGCCTACAACTTGAGATTTCTTGCTGACAAACCGTTCTGCACTGAGTTGTCTCAAAGACAAATCCGTACGAATAATCTGCCAAGATTCGCACTGTCTAACTTGCCTTTGGTACACTCTGTCAGTGAATCTAATAGAAGTGTTCCCAAACAAGCCGGAATTGCCTTACACGGCTGTGCATTTTGCGCATACTTAGAAAGCGAAAAGCGTTAAAACCGATAAAAGACGAGGGCTTTGAGTTTTATCAAATATACTAGTTTTGTGAGAGCACAGCCAAAAACTTCTAAGTGACGGTTTGACCTGGAACAGAGCAATCGTTTAGCATTTTTTAGCAGGAGTGAGGAGGCAACAAGAAAGCACGGAAAATTGTTTTGTTCATTCAAACCATGTCGTTAACGGTACTTTTTCATTAACGTAACAGATTTGAAATATTAGATGTCATTTTCCCATACTCTTCCCCCGCTGCGCCTCTTTGTTGATTTGCTTCATCTTCGCCCTCTGTAGAAAATAAGCGCTCCCCTTCAATACAGTCGAAGGCACTGGAAGCTTTCCAAGTGGTCTCGCTTTCTCAAGGTGGTGCTGGCAAATAGAGTTGCGAAGTCTGTGTAAGAATATTACGGCACCCGAAAAAAAGCGGTGATTGCCAGTTATTTCAGGGAAAGAAGAGACTTTGAATGATTTTTTGCTGTTTGTATATGCTGCTTTTTGACCAGGCCGTGAATTCTGAAAATCTCAAGTTTTAAATGGAATGTGCACTTTAGGCGTATTTTATGCAATCATGGGATACGAAAGTCGGTGTCGATGGTATCATTGTAATGCAAGATTTGATTCGTGAAGCTGTTCGGCAGAATGTTTTTAACGGCTTTACATCTGCTCAGGTGTTTGCTTAAGTATTTTTTTATGCGTTTCTGCATATTAGGGCAAATGAAAAAACGCATGTTGGAAAGAGGCTGTCTGTATGCGTGTCTGTGTGTTCTTACTTTTTTCGCTTATTTTAAACTCGAGAAACAGAAGAGCCACAAAGCTGGAACTTCGGTAGTATATGCCTAGCTCATGCGCAACTCTCCCGTTTTGTTCATTCGCGACGCCTCCAAAAATTATGCAAATCTTTTAGCGGGAAAGCGTCTTGTGGGCCAAATACGATAAAGAGTTGGAACTTTTCGGGATATTCTCTGTGCGTGTGTAAGCTAAAGATTTCAAATTCAGTTTTATTAGGCATACAGACACGTCAGAGTTGAGATTTCGACATCACTGATAAAATGCCCGTTCGGGAATAGAAGTGTATTAGAGCTATCCAACTTTATAAGATATTCGCTTTTCATATGTGGGCATGTGAGCATGAAATGAGCCCTGGCACGTCTGTATCGCTTTTTCGAACACTCCAAAGACATTTATTGCGAAAAGTGATTCTGTCAGACGTGCCAGGGCTCATTTCATGCTCACATGCCTACATATGAAAAGCGAATATTTTGTAGAATTGGATAGCTCTAATACACTTCCAATTCCCGAGCGGGCATTTTATCAGTGATGTCGAAATCTCAATTCTGACGTGTCCGTACGCTTAATAAAACTGAATTTGAAATCTTTAGTTTAAAGTCAAGCGAAGGAGCTGAAACTTACGAGGATTTTCTTTCCCATCGTGTGGCTAAAATATTTCATACTGAGTTCTAAAGCACTTCACGGTCTTGCGTGTGCACAAATGAAAGTTTAGTTTGAGACATTACTGACATCCAGTTAACTCAACCAAAGTAAGCTGAAAGCATCATTTTTCTGAGGATATTTGCTGTTTGTTTATGGACCACCAAGCTTCTGTCTAGCGTACTGCCACAACAAATGTTCAAATTGCAACACCGCAGTCTCATCTCAGGCGAGATGACGATGAAATGAGAACATGCTCCAGAAATTTCAGCTTCCTGGCTTCACTAATTATTAAGAGCGGGCGACGGAAATGCGGACACACCCACACATATACACTTATATATCTACACGCATATACACATATATGCGTCTTGCGCTTGCAAAAGTGTACCGGTCAGCCTGATGCGTCGCTTACCTGGGTTGAGTTTTTGAAGGATGGCTTTTGTTGCGAAATGAACATTTTGAAACAATAAGCACTGGCCTGCGAAATCGAGATTGGCGTGATGCCCCCAAATTTCTAGTGCTTTGAAAATGCCCTAACTGGGCACATTCTGAAATAATGGTACCATCGCATTCCCCGTATGTTCGATTACTGTTTGGTTATCTGTTTTAGTTGTCCGGTTTACCAGAATTGCTTGGGCAACTACTGTTGAACTTCAGGTGAAATCAATTCTTGCGCATATGGCGGACTTTCATGCAGAGATACTGCTTGCAAGGGATCGACACGAACTGCTTGCCAAATTTCCACCTTTGAAAGGCGAGGCCGCAGAATTCGGCAAGCAAAAACTGCTGGAAAAGCTACTAAAAACGGGGAGCGAATTCTTCATCGGGAATGCTGAAGCTGTAGCAGATTTTATCGACAACACTGATCTGCGCTACGATCTGGACAGTAATCTTTAGAACAGTCTACTTTTTTTGCATTGACGAAAAACGTGCATTCTCGTTCAGCACCACAATTGGGCGTCATGCGACGGCTGTAGTGTTAATTAGGAACGTCTGAAACATAGAATATATAAAATGTCAAAATATATAAAGTTTGAGGAATGGTCATCATGACGGGGCTATTCTTATTTATGAAAATGTAAAATTATTAAAAAAAAAAAGACGAACAGAAATATTTCGGCCCACTAACTTGTGTGTATTTCTTTTCAGCACCACAGTTGGACCCCATCAGTACAGCGGTTGTGGTGTTGGTAAAATAAATAAATGTGAAATACAGATTTGTCAAAAACGGGCTGTATTTTTTAAACGTAAAAAACAAATAAATTTGAGAAATAAAAAAGAAAAGCAGGGAAAACTGCCAATTGATAATAGAGTAGCCTTTATTTAAAAATTCTTTAAATTTAGGTGTTTTTAAAAAACAACAAAAATTTTATGAACCTGAATAAATGTTAATGAATAGAGTAAATACTTCGCGTTTCTCGCGCTTCTCAGATGCCCGGATTTCCTGCGCAAACTGAACTGGCGCAGAATTACATTAAAGCGAAAAAAAAAATTGTCGAAGCCCTGTTTGCCATTCGTTGCTATTTCTGCTGCTGTTGTTGTTACTATCGCTGTTGTTGCTGATGATGCTGTCGCTGCTAATTCTGCAGCTGAAAGTGATATCGCCAAAGCCGAAAGTGTTATCAGTGTTTCCTCGCCGGTAAGAAAAACGCAGCGCGAGAAATAGAAATGAAAATTACGTTAAACGAATTTAATTGATTGCGTTCTGCTATCTCAAAGAATAAATTTAATCGGAAACACTGTTATGTGAGTTTGTTGTAATTGATAACTACTTGCCTTTTCGTATGCAAACACTTAGTGTGTATAAATATGCACACTAATTTTTAATACCATATCATGGAAGTAAGCGAAAGCTAAGATTACAGCAACTTGAGCAGCCGCTTCGACGACGGTAACCATACTTCTTTCTGATTTTTCGGCAAAGCTGAGTATTTCTCACGCCCACCTGCAGGGGATTCTACCTCTAATCAGAATTAAGACCGTACCTGAAAATAGAATACTCCAGCGAATTTTCAGCCTCGCAGCTTATCCGGCAAGCGAAATATCCACTTCGCTACAAAT